TCTAGAGGCTTTTGTTTTCTAAAGAAGGGAAAGTTATTGTTTGCTCCCAACAGAGATGAGAATAAGTGTGTGGGGGGGCGTGTCCTTCTGAAGCTTTACCATGGGCTGGAGATCGGTCGCTTAGTGGTAGACACCGGGCATGGCATATGCAAAACTCACTCTGCTGTAAACATCCCAAAATTCATCACATGTGTTTGTTGTGGGAGGGGTGGGGTACACAGCACACTAATGCGCCTGTGTGCTTATGTGTGCAAGTGGAGGCCAAAGGTCAACCTCTGTTTCCATTCTTCAGGTGCCATCCATCTAGGTTTTTTTGAGACAGGATCTTTCTTTGGCCTGGAACTTGCCAATTGGGCTAGGCCGTCTAGTCAGCGAGCCCCGGGGATCTGCTTGCTTTTGCCTTCCCGGTGCTAGAAGCATGAGCCGCCATACTTGGTCTATTTGTTTGTTTTGCTTTTGAGACAGGGTCTCTCTAGGTAGCCTTGGTTAACCTCGAACTCCACGGGTAGACCAGGCTAGCCTTGAACTCATAAAGCTCTGCCTATCTCGGCCTGCCCAGCCTTGCCTAGCTTCTTTAGGCGGGGCCATGGTATTGAACTCAGGTCCTCACCCTTGGATAGCAAGCACTTTACCAACTGAACCATTAGCCAGTGCCAACAGTGCACATTCTTTTACAAAATCTTTTTATACCATTTATTTGTGTGTGTTTCTGCGCGTGCACACACATGTGACACAGTGTACTTCAGGTGGAGGTTAGAGGACAGCCTGTTGTAACCGGTTCCCTCCTTCTACCACGGGGTCCTGAAGACTGAAGTAGCATCGTCAGGCTTTCGGGCAAGCATCTTAACTGCTGAGACCTTTTGCTGGTCCTCCAGGATGCCTCCTTAATGAGAACAATGTCACCCCCAAAAAGATCTACATCGGATCTTCCAGGAGGATGACAAAGTGTCTAATCTTGTTACTGTGTAAAGCACAGGTAAGCATGCAGTGTAGACACAGCCGTCTGATGTATTTGTAGCATTAAGGTTTCTGTTCTAAGCAATTAGGGGAAAGATGTGTACACTGACGCCTCGGGAAAACAGAACTGAGGACGGCGCCTGGGTGTGAGGGAGACGGCTATACGCTGCTTGGCAGACAAAGCTCTCTGCTGCCCTGACAGAGCATGCGCGGTGCTGGGAGAAGCTGCTGTTCCCTGTCACCTCACCTTCCGGTGGGGACAAAGCTGTGTGATTGCATGGCCCCAGAGCTGTCGCTAGGGACCCGAGTGTTGGATCCTGCTCAGGGCTGTCAGGTGACCTTGGACAAGCTCTAATGCCTCCTGGAACCCTGCCCACGCTTATCTCCTGATTTATGTCTCTGCCTGGTACTGCTTCACTGACTTTTTGCTGAGGGGAGCATACAAGGCTCTCGAGCCAGAACTGGAGCTGCAGCCAGGCAGCCTCGGGATGCAGGAACAGAAGAGTGAAGGTCAAAGCAGGGATAGCTGAGAAGAGAAGCAAAGCTCAGAGAGAAAGGCAGAGGGTGGGATTTGAACATGGGACATGCTCCATGCAGAGCCAGCATTAGGCTCCCCCAGGACGCTCACCACATGTAAACTCAGATCACAAATACTGTGGCGAGTCTCTAACCTGCTGCCAGGCATTGCCGGGAGAAGAGGGACCCCTAAGGCTCCCAGTTATTCAACAAAAGCTTTAACTAAGCATTATATATGAGCTTTGTGCCAGGCTCACACCACTAAGTACCACCAACATACGAGCGTGCCCTCCACCCCCAGCACACAGCCTAGCCAATGCTCCCATCTTTTTAAAGGCATCCACTTACTCAATGTTAAAACCTCAGTGGGCAATCTTGTGGAGTTCGGTCCTGGCAAAAATGAAGAAAAAGACAGGGAAGCATTTTAATCCTGCTGTGGCTAAATGGAGCCCTTTTCCGGTTTCTTATCTTCAAATTGTTCACTTTGCTTATGAAAACGTATTAACAATGCAGTCCATTAATAATGAAAATTAGTGCTAGTCCTCCCATTGTTTCAGGCGTGTTCAGCGTTATCTGTTATGGATTGTAGGGGACTAGACATGCAAACTCAAGTATTGGTAAGGATCACATTAATACCACAAACGTACAAAGATGGATGCCTGAGGAGCGGTGTGGAGAGGTAGGGGCTGGAGCAGACTGCCAATCTCACGGTCTCGGGTGGGGTCAATGTTCAGCCCCATAGGCTGCCCACTCAGGGAGATAAGTTCTTCGTTCTTTTAGCAAGACACTAGGATTTTGTGTGACGTCTCCTAAGATTTTTTTCTCTACAATTTTTGGAAGAAAAATTAAGACTATGTGTTATTTATTTTCTGCATGCATGTGTGTTATGTGACTATGAGTACATGCATGCATGCATGCGGCGGCATGCCTATGGAGGCTGGAGGACAATTTCAGGAGTCAGCCCTTGCAAGCCCTCTGCCTTGTCCGGACAGAATCTCTCTGGTTCGGCTACTGTGCTTTGGGTCCCAAGCTGAGTGGCTCACCAGCTTCTGACTCCACCTCCCATCTCCCCAGAGGGGTTCGGAGATGACAGATCCACACCACCGCACACAACTTCACCACCACACACAACTCTGCTTTTTGTTTTGTTTTGTTGAGATAGGGTTTCTCTATGTAACTAACTGCCCTGGCTGTCCTAGAACTCACTCTGTAGACCAGACTGTCCTTGGACTCAGAGAGTTCCACCTGCCTCTGCCTCCTGAGTGCTGGGATTAAAGGCAGCACATAACTTTTTATGTCAGTTCTTGGAGTAGATCTCAGGTCATCAGGCTTATGAAGCTACCCTCTGAACCATCTGCCTGGCCCCCAAATTCAGAACATTTAAAAGCTAAAAGATAACGCAGGCGATACCCTTCGCCCTTTGACTAGCTGTGTTCATAGCTGTTGGAGCCTTGCTTTCCTCACTCTCTGGTCCTATCTCTGTTTCTTTCCCTTACACCTCTGCCCCACCCGTACATTTTTGGCTGCGTCACCTCTCTAGACATTTGACACAAGGTCATTCTTCTATATAATAACCATGTTGTGAAATTTATCAGCAATTCAGTACTGTTATCTAATACATAGCTGACACCCAAAGGCTCCATATTGTCCCAATAGTAGCCACATAACTCTGTGTGTATAAAGTGTGTAAAAACAGAGCTGCAGGTGGGTGTGGAGACGGGAGGCAGAGGCAGCAGGGTCACTGTGTATTCAGGAATGTGTAGATTAAACACAGTACGCGCTGTTAGTACAGCATACAGCATAATCGCTCTTTCTGATTGCCAAAGTGTCACCTGTTCGCCATTCGGCCTCCTTCAGTCTGTTCCTGGGTTCTGACAGGCGTCCACCATTGTGGGCAGACTTTGCTGTGTGATAGGCAGATAAAAATGTCTCGGACTCCTCCTGCCCCCACCCTGTGAGCAGCCATTTCTCCAGGAACCTGGTTCCTTTTAGTGGTAGCTGACAAAATGTCCTGACTTTAAAGGGTTAAATAACGTTTTAAAATTCTCACATTGTTCAGGTCCCATACAATACAGGATCTGCAGATACTGTTTGGCCATTGGGCTGCCAGCCAGTTTGGGACCTTGAAACTCTGGCTTTTGCTCTGGGCAGTATTGGCTCCAAGGACTCAAGGAGATGGGGTAATGGAGGTGGGTTTCTTTGTTTTTTTATTTTTTATTTTTTGTTTGTCCGGCATAGACCAACACTGGCCATTTATGTAAGCTGGTTCTCTGTATCATGGAAGACAATGGGAGCCGTTTCTTGCCCACAACAAAAGAAACCAAACAGCCCTTTATCATCCCCTCTATTTGCTCAACAAGTGGAGGCCTGTTTAATTTCATTTCTACAAGATGATGTACAAACAGCAAATAGTAACCGGCTGTTTTGTTTGTTTACTCGGAGATGTTTTGGCTTAGCCCTCAGGGGTTTAGCGGCACAGATTGTATTCTCGCTGCCAGCGAGAGCCAAAGCCACAAGCTGACTGGCAAATACTTCAGGCACGAAAGGTACAGAGGTCACCAGGCAGGAGCCTTACTGTCTTCCAGGCCCTCAGTTCACAATGCAATTAAGCCCGTTCCCCAGCCTGTCAGTGTCACCGGCATTGTGGCCTATGTCCCACACCAGACTCCAGAAAATAAAATACCCTGGCACAGGAGGAGACAGAATAAATTATTTTTGACAAGTAATTTTGAATAGATTGGGTGGGTATATGTGCTGAGAAATCAATCACCCACGACAGATAATTATTGTATAGTTCGTGGATGCCATGTTTTGATATATGCTTCTGTGGCATGATCAAATCAAGGCAATTAGCATACCTACCCCCTCAAATACTTGCCATTTCTTGGTGCGTTTGCGTGTGAGCATGTGGGCGTGCATGTGTGTGTATGCAGGCGTGCTTGCATGAGTGTGTACACGCTGTGGAGGTCAGAAGACAACCTTGGGTAGTGTTGGTCAGACAGCACCACCTCATGTTTCGAGGCAGGTTCTCTCGTTGGCCTGGAACTTGCTCATTAGCTGAGACCGGCCGATCTGACTCTGCCTCCCTGGTGCTGGGACTACACACAGGAGCTACTACCACATCTGATCTCTCATAGATGGGGTTCGTCTTGGGACTGAGCTCAGGTTTTTGCACTTACAAGGCAAATACTTCACCAACTGCAGCGTCTCCCTAGGCCCCAAATATTCGTTAAGTCTTTGTGATGAAACATTTAAAAATCCTGTCTTTGTGTTATTTTGAATAATAATAATTATTATAAAGTTATTAACTATACTCACTTGGTTGGGCAGCAGAATATTAGGCTTTCAAAATGAGTGGCTGTATGATTCATCTTGATTCTTAAAACATCTTACTGCTTTCTTTCCCATTTAAGTTATTTTTTATTCTCATCCTACAAGAATTCTAGACATGCTATATGATATATCGTAAGATAGCCAAACCACACCTGAAGGTAGTAATTTTCCTGTAGAGTGGAATTAAAAAAAAAAAAAAAAAAACTGGGTCAGGGACATGCCTTTCACTTAGGCTTTAAAACATTTTAATTTCAGTTGTACATTTGGCAGGATTAATGTTTTATTCTGCAAATTTGCTTTCAACAGGCACATTCTCCTGTTAATTATTATCCTTCTTTATTGTTTATTAACCTTAAGGGCCCTCTAGTAAACATACCAGTGGGTAGAACTGTGTCTCTGAAAATCATTGAACTTGGTCTCCATATCTGCTGGAACAATAAAAGGTGGGTGTTCCTAAGCCAGCCAGTGTCACCGCCGCAGTGACAAATGGCGTGGTGACTGCCGGTGCATGATGCCCTCGGCGTCACTTTCCATGGTGGCCACGGTCGTACTAATAATTCTTTCATGGTATTTTTCACAACGAAACAGCTCAGTCATCCACTGCACACATCACTGGCCTGCTGGGTTTTCAGAAGGTTCCAGAAGAGATTTGTCCCCCGGTGTGGCCTCCAGCGAGCCTATAAACACCACTTAGCCTGGCTGCCTTCAGTTTCCCCAGAATGGAATTTTCCTCATGATTGTTTTGTTCAGGGTTGTGTTGAGAGGAAGGTAGGCCGTTCCGAGGGCTTCTGTTTGTCCCTCTCTTACTGTGTAGCTCATGAAGCTAATGTTTGCCAACTGCCAAGAGCGTCTACCCCAAATTTGCCCTCGGGAGTGGAGAGAAAGCTCTCAAGCATGGCTCCATGGATCTGCCCAGCCCTCTGTGAGTCAGTACTGCAACCTGGGGCTCTGAGAACACATTGGGTAGAGATATCAGTGCTCAGACCTCAGACCTGATCACTTCGTGGGTCTACTTGCAATTGGTCACAGATCCCTTTGGGAATGCCTGCGGTGGCATCACAGGGTCCTTCCTCAGAGTTATTCTCATTTGTGAGTTGCATGAAGAACTTCAATTTCCCACCCTAAAAGCCAACACCAGCTTTGTCATCTGTCAATTTTTCCCACTAATGCAAATCAATGACACATTAGCCTGCCCCCCCATCCCAACAGGACTCCATGATGGGGCATTGTGTGGGTCGGCTCAGAGCCTGATGAAGTGAGGTATTCTGGCCACTCTGGGCACTAGGTGTTGGCCGCTCTGGAATCTTGTTCCCACTGGAAGCAGAGAAACTAATTCCCATGGTAGCAACTTCAATACAATGAAGGCAACCCTTTCCACTCACCCCACCCAAAGCAGCCATAGATAAACCTCCAAGCCAACACCGTCCTTGCTGTTTGTGGTGCTCTAGTAGTGAAAGCATTTACTGGGTTTTACTTCAGAGGAAACGTGATCAAGTGGGGGGCTCTGTGGACCCCCCCAATAATCCAGTCTAGAATTTCTACCTCCTCAATGCTCTGCCCCGGCAATTCCAGCATGCCTGCCTTATCTGATGAGAGCCCAACCTCTGGACAGCTGTGCCAGAAGCATAAGCTATCTGCAGATGCCCTCGATAGGAGCTGGGTCCGAAGCCACAGGACAGGGCGCGCCCATCAATGAACTTGCCCCACGCAGCTGTATATTCCACAGTGCTCACGATCCAAGTTCCTCAAGACTCCTGCTGGCCCAAACGTGCCGGGTCCTAGCAGTCTCTGAAGATGGCTACTTCCTCCTTAATGCCTTCTGGGAGTGGGGCTTCATTCTATGTAGGGGTTCTTTGGCCTGGAGGAGTAAAAGAGGAATTAAGAGGATGGGCATCCTCCACAGAGGCCCCTGGACCGTGAGAGGGATCTTCAAACTGTGGAAACCATTTCTGCCAGTGTGCAAACTTCTCCCAGCCCAGGGGTTTGAGAAATTTTAAGGTTTAGGATTTCCAGGCTCACCATCCCAATATCACTATCCCATATCTCAGGTCCTGACTGTGGCATGGGGGACCTATTGAGACTACATATTCACTCCTTTGGGACACAGTATTTTGAAAGTGAAGTCTTGGCTCCATCGGAGACCAAAGTCCCTTAGACTGCTTCTGATCTCCACTTCCCCATCTTTCTCCTGTGCCACAGCTATTACACAAGCCACCTGCTCCTCATCCAAAACCAACACTAGAGGAAACGTCCTGCCTTGGGCCTCTCTTCCACCCGGCCCACCCAGCCTACAGGAGCTCTTTGTCCCGCCCGACTAGTGATTGATCCAGATCCAGAGCTCCATTCTGTGCGTGGGGCTGGGCCCACATCTCATGCTGGCACCTGTGTGTAGTCAGTGCATGCCTCCACCCCAGAAGGTAAAATGCAAGACGTGGAGTCGTGTGTTAGTAGCTTACTTTGGGTAGTAGCCCTGGGGACGGGAGAAAGGGGGAAGAGAGAAGCCCACAGAGGCAACAGGGCCTCAGTCTCCAGAGACTTACAGTATGTCACTTGGGAATCCTTGAGAAGGGTCCAGGATTGATCATTTTAAAGCTGTGGGCAAGGAGAAGGGTGTCACTATTTCATTCTAGATGTATGGGAAAGGATGGAGGACTCCCTCCAAACTGTGAAAAACATTCTACAGGGACAACTGGGCAACTCTTACTTTTTAGACTTTAATTTCTGTTTGGGTTTTTTTGTTTGTTTGTTTTAGTATTTACCATAGTTATTGGAGGAGAATGTTTTTGAAAGGAAAACCAAGAAATAAGCATTGAAAAAAAAAGGGCCACTGTGTTTCCCTAAAGTACAGACATATGGTCAACATCCCATTACTCCCCCACAAAGAACACAGATCAGAGGGCAGGAGAGACCACAGACACAGTAAAGATCACTAAGCCAGTATCTTCAGTGGCCAGGCAGGTCTTGGAGAATGGATTTGTCTCCGTGAATAAATACACTTTGTCTTGAAATGTGCCTTCGCCTCTGCTGGTTGTATGTTTCTCCACTTTAGATAGAAACATGGGTCCATGGAACAGTTGACTCTAATATTTGTCAGTAACGTGACAATGATGCTGATGGGCTCACTCACTGGACCTTGGTGCCACAGGAGGGACAGGAAGTGATGGGGAGAGCAGCAAACTAAAGCGCACAGCCCCCTAAAGTGAACCACTACTCTCAGCAAGCTCCTTCAAGCCACAGAGCTAACGGGGCTGGAGCCGCCAGAACGCCAGCATTTTCCAGAGCAGCCTCGGGACCAGAGCAATATCTCCTGGTCACTAGGTGTGGGCAACAAATGTTAAAAGTCATGAAAGTGCTGCGGAGGAAGGAAGCTGAGCAACAGACCTCCAGGGATGCAGGGCCTGAGTTCATCACAACAGATACGGGGTTGATGACAGGCACAGGCGCTGTCCCAGAAGGCTATGCGACACTGCTCTTCATAGGAAAACCAAGTGGACAGTGCGTCAAATCCAGCCGGGAGGACACTAAAACACAAACTGGGGTCTTGGCAGATGGAGAGATGGCTCAGTGGCTGAGAGCATTTGCTCTTCTTGCAGAGACCCAGTATGGTTCACAGCTATCTGCAACTCTAGTTCCAGGGGACCAACGCCTTCCGGCCTTTGTAGCCACGGTATGCACTGGTGTGCTTACACACACACGGATAAAACACTCATAGACATAAAATAAAAAGAAATCAATCTTTTTAAAAGAAGCTTTTATTTTTAATGCCAGAGACGGTGCCTCACTTGGCAGCATAGAAAGAAAAGGGAGACTATTCCAATCTTGTACAGACCCTGCTTTTCATAGACTAGCTGAGGATGGTGGTAAAGACCTCAAAAGGACTCCTGAGGCCTTCCAGACTGGAGCAGCAGGAGACAGAATGCCAAGAAATCAAACCAGGCTTGAGGCTGTGGCTTCACCCCCTCACAAATCAGGAGCAATTGTGGCTAAACAAGCCACAACCCCTTTGTAGTATTTATGGTAATTTAGTCTGTTCTGTCTTGTACGTGGCATTTGGTTCTTGTCATCTAATTTATTTGCATGTTCCCCAAGAAATCCCTTTTGGACAAAGGTGGAAGTGTCTAAGGCCCAGGCATGCCCAACATTCTGACATCGTGACAAAGTATTGCTGTCTCCGAAGTTTGTGCTCAAGAACTGCACAACAGAGTCATGAGGAGAAAAACAACCTCATGATGATTTAAGAATGTTTCCAATTTCATGTCGGTAAGCAGCCATAGCTCTCCTGTGTCCCAGGCATAGTGTGGGCCACAGGAAGGACACCTGACAGCCCTCATAGACAAACAATCCACAATATGGTAGCTGTGGTTGAAAGCTACAGGGTACGGTCTGCGAACCAGCTTCAAGACCAAGGTGATCCCCTCCCCCAGGCCAGGGAGTTATGGACAGAGGGAAAGGATGTGTCTTGAGATGCCAAATCCATAAGTCTGGTTCACCGCCCATTGCCGGGTACCACAGTGGCTCATAAAACCTTCCAGATGAGAAGTCCTCTGCCCCGTCCTCCCCACCCCCGCAGTTCCCTCCCCACGCGACCTCCCATCAGCCCCATCACTGACCACTGCTTCCCTTTAAAGGGAAGAGAAGGCGTCATGCTCTCTCTTGCCTGTGGGGACCTGCTTTCCTCTCTGCCTCTTCCTCACCTCCGGATGTTCAGGTTCTTTGGACTTCTTCCTGTGTTAGCCAAGTCTTCCTACAGCGCCTGGGGACTCTCTGGCTTTATCTTGTTCTAGCTCCAGAAAACCGGACAGGTGTACTTTGGACTGTTGGAGTCCTGTGATATGGAAGGACCAAGAAGAGTAGCTTCCTCCTTGTGGACCTGCCCTGCCTCTTTGCTGTGTCAGCATCCTCTCATTGGACAAATCTTTGTTCATTCTTGCTATCTTCCTTTCCCTTGACTCTCAGCTCTAGTTCCATTGCCACATTCTTACTATTCTGGTAACAAAGTATCTCCAAACAGAGTCTTTCTGCCATCTCTCTCCTCTCTGTGCACTCTCTCCTCTGGTCCGGGTTTTTTTATTTCCTCTTCTGAGCTATTCCAAATCCTACTGCCGTAAAGCTCAAACCCCGAGGGCTGTTTATCACAGCTTGCTGCACTTCCTGCCCTGACTTCCCCTTACACCTAAGAGAGAATGTCAATTTTCAGCCCACCCGCCCACAGGACATGTTCTCACTAGCTGGCTGGCCATTGCCCATGAACGTCACCCGCAGGACACACAATTTCAGTTCCTTAAAAGGCCTGTGTGTGTTATGTCCAAATCCGCGAAGTCCCCCAAAAGCCAACAAGGAGACTGAGTCCCATATGTAAAAGCAAAGAGCCTTTACTTTATGCAAATTTGCAAACTCGGTCTTTCTGCATGTCCAATGTATTGGAATAAACGGAGAGCCCCGAGCTCAGTTAGAATTGGGTTTTATAGTAGTAAAGATGGGGGTGAGGGTTTTTTTGAGGTTCAGGACCCCTAATTGGCTGACATTTGTCTACGCTGGTCCTGGTGAGTGTGTGCTGGCAGGTGATCCTATCTGCCGCGGTTGGAATGTTAGGCATTTCCTTTGGATGGTCTGTTCTTGGGTGGTGCTCAGGTAATCTAGGTTTATGGTCCTTCCTGCAACCAGGTATTGCTTCAGGGTAAACTACTGAGACTCAGGCCTCCGTTAAACTTATCAATGGCTGAGTCCTACACTGGCAGGTGATAATGGTTGGAAGTAAAGAACTTCCTTTGGGTGATCTGTTCATATTTAGCTTATCATGGCTGGCTCCTACAGTGTGAAGTCCTCTCCTGATAACAGCCCAGCCTCTGTTTCTGGTGTTCCTAGGGGGAGGGAGGTTTTTTGTTTGGTTAGGAGAGTGGTTGGATAAGGGGCCATTAGGAATTGTTGCTTTCTTGGGTTGGAGTGAGTTTTTTTTTTTTTGTTTTGTTTTTGTTTTTGTTTTTGTTTTTTGTTTTTTTTTGTTTTTTTTTTTTTTGTTTTTGTTTTTTTTTTTTTTTTTTTTTTTTTTTTTTGGTTTTTTCGAGACAGGGTTTCTCTGTGGCTTTGGAGCCTGTCGTGGAACTAGCTCTGTAGACCAGGCTGGTCTCGAACTCCCAGAGTTTCAGCTGCCTCTGCCTCCCCCATGCTGGGATTAAGTGTGTGTGCCACCACCTCCCGGTTTAAGAGTCCCATACTGTTAGTTCAGGATGCAAAGCTTTATCTAACGTAAACACTGGGGCTGAAGATGCCTGTCCAGGTCCAAGGGAAGCTCCAGTTCCTTAAACTCCAAAAAGCAGTGTATATGTCCAGAAATGACCGTCTTAACCCAGCTCAAGCCGGACTACAGAAGGATTTCTGGTGGTTAGATATTCCTCAGCTTGTGAAGTGGGTTTCCTTCCTGCCTGCCCAAGGGAGTCATTTCCCTTGCCTCTAGCAGAAGGGATATGTAGCTCTCCATTGACATATACTTGTGCTTGCATATTAAAGCCCACGCTGGCCTCTAGACTCCTAAAGTCCCTATTCACAAGTGTCCATTTATGTATTTCAAAGTCTACACTAGCATCCTGATTGCACCAGATCTGGGCTTCCCTCCTCCAGCTGCTCGATCTCCTTCTAACCTGCTATTCTCTACGATTCCCCCACACCTTCTTTCTGACCAGCTCCACTATTCTCTCTCGTTATTCTCTGCTATTCCTGCTTCCCTAGTCCAGCCTTGTCAAGTCTGCATTCTCTCTCTGCTCCGGAGTCTTCCAGACGCCTCTGGCTGCGCTCTCTCTCTCTCTCTCTCTCTCTCTCTCTCTCTCTCTCTCTCTCTCTCCTATAATAAAAACCTTTCCCCCAATGGAGCGGCCGTTTCTGTAGTTTCCCATTTTGGTAGTTTCCTTACTGCACCCCATTCGTACAGTTCTCTCCTTCTCTGGTATGTGGGCTCAGTCGCGTGGCAGATTGCCTGTAACTCTTCAAGCCTAAGGCAAGAGTGCCTAGGCAAGCAGGTGCCAGCTGGAAGCCAGTGAAGAAAGGGCCTCCTGCTTATCCACCTGTGACTCTCCAAGGAGCTCTAAACACAATTCATGTTGCTCCTATACATTTTTAAATGCTTACAAATTGGATTGTGTGAATTTTATTACTGGGGGAGGGCTGTCTCAAGACAGGGTTTGTCTGTATAGTGCTGGCTTCCTAGAACTTGCTCTGTAGACCAAGTTAGCCTTGAACTCACAGAGATCCGCCTGCCTTTGACTGGGATTAAAGGCGTGCGCTCACACTGCCCGGTTTATCATGCTATTCTCTCTTAGGGAGAAAAGTTAGCATGCTATAGATAACACTTGACTACAGAATCCTTGTAGGAAACCATTCGTAGCTGTTGGGTTACAGTGTGAAATGTTCCAAGAGGCTCTTGTCCTTGAACATTTGGTCGCCAGCTGATGGCGTTGTTTTGGAAGGTCATGGAGCCTTTAGGAGCCTCACAAGGGAGGTCACAGGATCCATGGAGGAGGGACTTGAGGTTTTATAGATCAGACCCACTTTGTGACATTCTCTGCCTTCTGACTGTCAGGCAATGTTATCAGCCACCTCATACTCCTGTATCCCTTTAGACTGTAAGCCAAGCAATCCCATAAGATGTTTTTTGTCAGGTATTTGCCACCATAACAAGAAAAGTAATGGCTGTCAAAGATTATTTGGAAAAAGAGGTGCAAAGTGCCAGTGTTAGAAGCCATCAAACAACAATGAAGTAGACGCTAATGGTAGTTATTGGTTATAAAGCAAGAATGGGCACTACAAAGAGGGAATTGACTAGGAGGGTGTGCGCATGTGTGTGTGTGTGTGTGTTGTTACAAATCTCTTTTTTCTTTAGAAAAAGATTTATGTGCCAGACATGGTGGTCCACGCTTTTAATCATAGCACTCAGGAGGCAGAGGTAGGTAGATATCTGTGAGTTGGAGGCCAGCCTGGTCTACAGAGTGAGTTCCAGGAAAACCAGAGCTGCATAATAGAGAGAACCTATCTTAGGAAGGAAGGAAGGAAGGAAGGAAGGAAGGAAGGAAGGAAGGAAGGAAGGAAGGAAGGGTAAGAGGAAGGAAGGGGTTTCTACTGGAATTATCTGTCCTATGTATAAGGTATCCATGAAACCAGAGCACATTAAACAAGTAAGTGAAAACAGTTACTAATCACACATTAGTAATTGCTTATTATTTAATACTATGAGAGTTTGAAGCCTCTGGGGATTCTGACCCAGGGGCACAGGAGCAGTCTGGGAGAACTCCTCAGAGAGGACATTTAACTAGAGCAGCTGTCCCTTGCTTAGCCAGTCTTCTCAGATCTCTTTGCTTGCACAGCCCATGCGCGTCCCAGTCACACTTCCCTTCTAAGTCTCTGAGAAACAGCCCAGGAAAACAGATCAGGTGATCCTGATTGCAGCCTCCTTCCACATACAGAATGAAACCCCTGAAGGGAAACAGCTTGATTTTTACTGGAACTCCGAGAAAGATGCTCACAACTCAGATTTACTACCATCCTGCCTCTTGTACTTTCAGCAACTCAAGCATCCTAACCTTGTCAACCTCCTGGAGGTCTTCCGGAAGAAGCGGAGGCTTCACCTGGTGTTCGAGTATTGCGACCACACAGTGCTTCACGAGCTGGACAGATACCAGCGAGGGTGAGTGGCCATCCCTTACCACAGAAACGGACAAAGCAAAGCTCACAAGGAGCCATGAGGGAAAGTAGCCATGGGGACTTTTTTAAAAGACTGTATAAGAAGCCATGCATGGTGAAATAAGACAATGGACAGGTTGAAGCCACCCTGAGCCATAAACCCTGTCTCAAAAGCAAACAAAATAAAATAAAATCAAAAAGCAAGTAAACAAAAGTAATGATCACTGTATCTCTGATGCTGGGTTAACAGGCCAGAAATTTCAAAAAAGTAAAGTGTGAAATAAGTTATAATGTCATTTCCATGAGTAACATAATAACATAAGAGACAAACCTTGTCTTCCTTGGTCCAAGTCTCTGCATTGAAGTTGCTGCAGCCTCTCTGAAAGAAGAGGGAGGAGGAGAGGAGATACTTTGTGTCCAACTAGGGAAGTGTAGCAGCTTGGGCTTTAGAAGAAAGCATTTCTAAAGAATGGGGACATACACCTGTGATTCCAGTTCTTGGGAGGGTGAGGCAGGAGGATCACCAGTCTGAGGCCAGCCTGGGCTGCACAACAAGACTTTGCCTCAAAATACATACATGCATGTATACATACATGAATGAATGAATAAATAAGTAAGAAAGAGAGGCAGGGAGGGAGGGAGGGGGGAAGGAAGGAAGGAGCACAAAAGTAGAAAAAAACTAAAGCAACCTGAGTATTTGGTTCGCTGCGTTAGTCTGGACGTCTTTGGTACTAGTGACAGAAACTGAACTTGAGGTGAGCACCAGTGGAGAGCACAGGCACAGGCGTAGGAAGCTGTAACCAGAAGAAACTGCTGTATGTGTGGCACAGGATAGAAAGAACTGGGTAAGGAAGGTGCAGGCTAGAGCATGGCCACCGCGGTTTCTCCAGGGGAAGGGCCCTTCTGGGTGAGGAAATGGCACATAAAATCCACCGGATTCCTGAGCGGCGGCTGCAATGATGCGATTATCCCTGGAGCCATTTGCTATGACCGGAAGGAGAGAGAGAAGAATTACTAGTAGGTCATGGGAGTTAGAATTGAAAACGAGTCAAGAAAAAAGGCTTCCTAGTGGAGGCGGCATGCGGTTCAAAATGGGGAGAATTTAGAGAAGCTGGTAAGGGAAGATTAGCCCATTCTTTTCTCTTACTCCATTGCTGGGGGTGGGGAGGTTGACCTTGGCTGGGGAAATATGGAGAGTGCCTGGCAGGTCAGAGTTGTGGAATAGTGGACTGACCCCCGGCTTGTGTCCTGACTCAGTAGCCAGAGGACAAGATTCTTCTCATATTTCTTCTCAGCTTTGTCCAGGAGCTCACTCTTCCTGTGACATTGCTCATATATGATCTGTCATGACCTCCTGGTAAATGAGATTAAAGCTGCTTGCAGCTTGTTAATGTCCATGAAGCAGGCTTTTCACGATCCAGAATGTTAGAGCCAAGAAGACAGGCGCCTCCCTTCGGAGAATCATCAGCACAGAGGAATGATGTCTTAAAACGAGAGAGCATCTTCTGTGTCGATATTTGCTCGTTCCGGAGCTTGCAGGTAGCACTCAATGCAACTTCGCTGGTGTAGTTTCTGCTGCTGTGTGGTACAGCGAGATACTGCAGGGGATGCGGCTGCTCACGGTTGGTCCATTTCCCTCTGTTCTTATACCGTAATCAACACGGAAGCCTTCTGGAACCTCAAACAGCATATAATCTGCCCATGTAAACAAACACATCACTAACTGTGTCCCAGAAAGCAGCTTGCTGGGTGTCCCCTGATCTAATCCAATCCTCTCCCTGTCTACCCAAAAGCAGCGACAAGTCTCACACGTTTCCGACTTGGATGATCCAAGACTGCCTGCCCCCCTTAGAAACCCGCCACAGCCGAGGTTATTATACCTCTGCTTTTGAGTGACCGCCTGAAGCAGGATCCCCATGACCTACCTCATCCTTGGGTTTGAGTCATCTACTCCAGCAACACGCAGACCCCTGGGAAATGTCTGCTCAATTTGCTGCTTTATTACCAAAAAAAAAAAAAAAAAAAAAAAAAAGGAAGACCACAAACAACAAACAGGGTCAAGCATGAGAGGTGTATGGAGTCCACGCCCTCTGTAGATGCTCCATTCTCCAGGAAGCCCCACAAGTTCAGTTCTCTGCAGGCTCTGCAAACCCTGCCCTTTCGGGTGCTGATGGGAACTCCACTGAGTAGGCATGGTTGCTAAGTG